CCCCCCCCCAGTCTGGGGTATCCCCTTCAGTGCCTCTTCACCCCACCCTAGCTCTCCGAGCTCCTCCTCTCCCTTCCCCAAGGTATGGAGGAGCTCAACTCATTCCTGCCCAGTGGTCACTGCCACTCTAGCCCTGGCTGCTCCAAGCCCTCCCTCTCCACGGGCACAGGCAGGCTGGGCTGCAGCAGTTGATGCTGGAGTCCCAACACCGCCAGGTTCGCATCCCTGCTGCCACCCAGCCCCCTGTGCTTCTTGAGCTTTGCTCGGCCTGGCACCACAGCACGCAGCACAGGAGGGCAGAGTGAGGGCCGGAGCACAAGGGCTCCGAGAATGCTTGGCTCACTTAGGGTCTTTCTCACTCGAGTCTGGATGGCCCTCCAGCCACAGGCTCTGAGAACTCACCGGAGAGGGATCTTGACACGGAGGTAGCGGTCCACCGCGATGGCCAGCAGGGCCAGGATGGAGCTCTGCGTGAGGATCAGGACGGGGCAGGCCACCATGAGGCAGGTGTGGAAGTAGGTCTGAGGCCCCACGTTGATGAGGATGGCCAGCGGGATGACCAGGGCGCCCACGGCCACATCAGCCACGGCCAGCGATGCAATGAAGCAGAAGGTGGCGTCCCGCAGCGCCTGGTTCACCTTCACAGCCCAGATCACCAGCACGTTCCCGGGCACTGAGACCAGGGCGATGAGCACCTCGATGCCAATGTAGGCGGCCTGGAAGGCCGAGATGGAGTGCGACATGGCGGGCACAGGCTCAGCACATCAGCAGACAGACACCGCGGGGCACGAGGTAGGCACCTGTGGTCAGGAAGCCTGGGGTGGGGAGGCCTGCCTGGAGCCGGAGGGAAGCCCAGGCAGGCCTGGGGAGACAGCCCCACCTGGCACATGCAGTGCCCTCCAGACTGGCCGGATACCTGAGCCTTTCCCCTGCCTCAGCTCTGTCCCTTCCCCTTAGCAGCCCCGGAGGTTCTGTTCAGCAACTTAAAATAGCAGCGCCTTCCCCACCCGGGGCTCTGGATCAGGTGTGAGGCGGCTCCCAGCACAGCACACCCCACAGGGGTCCCGCGCGCCTGGCTCTGCCCACCCCGCGTCCACAGAGCAGGATGCAGGGAGCTCACCATCCTGCCTGCGGGCGGGCAGGGGGTCCCGGAGGCGGTGCCCGAAGTTCCCGGAACGCGGTGCCGCCCACAGTTCCGC